TGTTCATTTAGTGAATTATGGTCCATTTAGAGTCAAACAGACCATGAAGAGGAGACGCTTTAGGGCGGGGCAACAGGCTGATTGACAGGTCCCTACCAGAGAGGAATACAGCGGCTCTATGTTCTTAGTTGATATATGGTCACTTCCTGTTTACTACTAGATAAAAAACAAGATCTAATGCAGAAGTCGGGGCTTCAGAACATCAACAAACAGAGAGTCCACTTCTTGCAAAGAGTTCCTCCCCCGTGTGATTGTGAAACTCAAAGTCTCTGATGTTTAATGTACGCTTTAAAACACCACACCTGAGGTGTCGGGTTCACCCAGTAGTCCCACCTGTGTGCTTGCAGGACGATACCTGTGACTCTGGAGCTGAAGGACCCTCAGCACCTGGATGAAGACCTGGGCTTCCTGGATCTCTCCGTCACCCTGACCCCCAAAGACAGTCCGGTGGAGGAGCGCCGGGACTCTGCGGTACGTTCCGATCCAAAGTGTCCGTTATCGATAAGTGCACGCTGCAGCGACAAGCTACTTATTTTTTATTGATTAATACAGAAACTCTGCAGTGAGAAGCAGAGAAAACATCTGGATCTATTTCTCTTGTGTTTATGATTCAAGATCAGCTTTACTTTAGTTTAAAGTTGCTTTTCACAATAATATTTGTTGCTGTAATACCCCGAGATGCAACACCCCTTTATGTCGTAAACAGCAAACGGATTGTTAAATCTTTCATTGTGCTGATTAAATATGTATTTATCTCAAGTGAAAATCTGCATAAAAAAAGACTTTAACCAGAAATTTTAGTTTTGCTGCCAGAAAAGAACTAAAACCTTTAATCAGCTTTCATATACTAATAAATTAATTAATCCACAATTTAAAATGAGGAATTTTAGGGACTAACGATACATTAATGGAGAAGCCATATTCTTCTTTTCTCTCTGCTGCTCTCCTTGGTAAATATATTTAATTTAGAATAATTCAAACAAATCAAATCAATGAAGCCACTGAGGGAGAGTCACCGGTTGGTATCGCTTCTTTCTAAACGACAAGGAATCAATGTTCCGATCCATTGATCCACTGAGAGAACACGACGAGTCCCGAGTCGTGATGACGAGAGTTATACGATGGCGTATCGCTGGAGGCTGAACGTGAATAAAGTGAGTGTAGCGCTGGTGATTAGGCTCCTCCTCCTGCACCTCCCCCAGCGGCGAGGAGCTTCCTCCCTAGAGGACAGAGTCCGTATGATTAACAGCTACCAGGGCGACTGAAGGTTGAATCTAGGTTATTAAATCCTGTATTTCTTAAAAACTCAAGAAATCTTTATTAGATAGAGGAGGTTTTTCAGTGAATTTGACCTTTATATTTTTAAATAATTAAGTACCCAAAAGCTGATTAAAAAAAATAAATTGTAGTGTTTTAAAATAACCATTTTCTAATGAATGCTACTTTGATACTGAAAATACATAACAATTTAGTTTAAAGCAACTGTGGAATTAGCGTAGCATTCAGCAGCTAAAGAGAGAGACGTTAGTGGTGGAGACCCAAAACAGAGCAACATTCCCACTTTGAAAGGTTGTAATATGTTGTGTTCAAAGCTCAGTGGAATTTGGGTTTATTGTTTTCAGGTAAGCGTTCACATTAAAAAAAGAGAAAAACATCTTAACAAAGAGGCGTTAAAGTGCAAATGTTCACAGTTTAAAGTACAAACGTAGATGGGAGGGTAAATTGAGTTGCGTTGACATTAAACACAACTTGTCAAGTGTGATTTACTCGTCACGTACAGTAAATTAATCAAGTGAAGGAGGAGCGTAAAGTTGCAGTCCGCCTCGCCTCCTCCATCACTTGTTTGGTCTCCAGATAGAAATAAACGTGTCCTCTCGCCCCCCTAGTGGCTCGAAGTGGTTCTGCAGAAAGCTTCTAAAGCGTCTCCTTCCACCGGATTCAGTTGAATTAATGTGTCTTAATGTATATTCAGACAATGCTGCTCAGGAGGTCCTGGAAAAGATCCACTAAGGTAAATCGTCATCATCCTCAGCGTCTTCATCATCGCGTCCTGACATCGTTTCCTTTTGCCTGTTTTAATGTCAAAGTTTGTGTTGAAGGTTTTTCACGGCGATTTAAAATCGACGTCAAACATGCTGTGTATTCTGCTCCATACATTACTACGTTTACATGCACAAGTATTTGAAAAAGGACAGTATACTATGTATATGTATGTATAATATTTTGTGTTCTCAATAATACAAATATTAGTTTGCATGGGAACATAGTTTGTGTTGTAGCTGCTTTCATTTCCTGCTGTACACGAGACCCCGTTCTTCATACGGTTTAACATGCAGGCTAACGTGCTACCATCAAGCTAACAAGATGCTATCGGACTGACCCGGCTAACGCGATGTTATCTGGTTAATTCAAGGTACCAGGATACTGTGTGCCATTAGGCTAACTTTATCCCGCTAACGGCATTGCGTTATGGCTGCCATGATGTTATCAGGCTAATATGATCCGTCTAATGTTATGCTATCAAGCTAATGTGCTGTTACCAGGTTCATATCAGGCTAATGGGATTTCGCCATGGTATGTTACTAGGTTAGCGTGATATTATAATGCTAATGTGAGCTATCGGGCTAACATCCTTCTGTCAGACTGAGTTGATGATCAGTAAATGAGATTATTGAGCCAACACCACACCATCAGGCTAACATAATCAGGCTAACATGATGCTAACGTGAAAAACCAGCATCAGGACTCAGGAAACATTTATTGCCATAATATGTCAGACATACAAGGAATGTACTTGGCGGTTAGTTTAAAATAAAGGAATAAAAGTTCAAGTTAAAAATATTTAAAAATAAAAAAAAATTGTGCACCAGCGAACAGGAAGTGACGTGTGCAGAATGACAGAAAGTGACGGTGTGATGTCAGAGTCAGTCAGTGGGGGATCGGCGCTGTCGAAGAGCCCGACTGCCGACGGGGAGAAACCGTTTAATCTCTCTGTTAAACCGTTAAACCTTTAAACCTTTAAACCTCGCCTCATCATTCATATCAAGCTCACATATGAACTACAGGCTCCTGCATGTTGTGCTTCTTCTACCTGACATTTGATGAGTGGAGTTGTGTGTGTGTGTGTGTGTGTGTGTGTGTGGACCAGCAGCAGCAGTCGCTGCGTCTCTCAGACCTCCATCGTAAGTCTCAGCTCTGGCGAGGCATCGTCAGCATCGCGCTGATCGAAGGCCGGAACCTGATCCCCATGGACCCCAACGGCCTGAGCGACCCGTACGTCAAGTTCAGGCTGGGACCCCAGAAGTACCGCAGCAAGGTACCGCCGACCTCGGGTCAGTCTCCGAACGCGGGGCTTCTTCAAACCAAGAGCGCGTTTCCCACAATGCATTTGTGTGCAGACGGTGCCAAAGACGCTGAGTCCCCAATGGAGGGAGCAGTTTGACCTCCACATGTACGAAGAGACCGGCGGGGTGCTGGAGATCACGGTGTGGGACAAAGACACCGGGAGGAGAGACGACTTCCTCGGACGGTCAGTTGGTCTCGTCCCTCTTCGTCTGCATTTATATGTTTTATTCCTTTCATTTGAACTCACAAGAGCTTAAAAAACAAGAAGCATCGGATATAAAAGTAACCACCTACAGTTTGTTCTCGTAGAGCACCTTAAACCACCTCTAGAACCTATGAAATGATCCAACCTAGAACTTTAAGTGTTACCAAACCTCCCAAAGGACTCATAGAACATCCAGAGGGATCTTTCATTGACCTCCAAAAGGATCTCCAGAACCTTTTCAATGATCCCTTGGTATCCAAACCTCGGACAGAACCTCCTCAAAGACCCACAGAGCAGCCTAAATGACCCCAACAGAACTCTTAGGGCATCCTCTGAGATGTCTAGAACCGTCCAATCACCAGTTAAAGGAGCCACAAAAGATCCTTAAGGATCTTTAAAACGTTTCCAATGTCAGCAAAACCTGCTACGGGGTTCCAAGACCACTAAAGGCTTTTCAATGAACCCTAGATAGGACCTCTTAAAGGATTTAGAACCTCCTCATTGACCACTAAACCTCCCAGACGTCCCATATACAATCCTTAAGGATCTCCAGGACCTTCTCAATGATTACCAGAACTTTCCAAAGGGTGTGAAGAACCTCCTACAGGCTCACTACATCTCCTGAAGGAGTCATAGAGAAAACTACGTTGCAAATTATCTTCTAAATGACCAACTCACGTGTAAATGACCTGTCAATCAAAGCTAAACATTTTAATACTTGTGGATTTCATGTGATTGTTGTATGTAATTAATTTGCCATTGCGTGTTAAACTGTACATTGTATATTTCGTTATATTTGCTTTGACTTTATTGGATTGAATAAACAACATAAAAATGTGGATGCGGGTTTATTCATAAATAATTGATGACTTCATTCTGACCACACGTGAGCTTCTTGTGTGTACATCACGTGTACTCTGTGTGTACTTTTACCCTCCAGCTGCCAGTTGGACCTGTCCACGCTGCCCAAGGAGCGGACCCACCACCTGGACCTTCCCCTGGAGGAGTCCCGGGGCCTCCTGGTGCTGCTGGTCACGCTGACCGCCTCCTCCCACGTGTCCATCGCCGACCTCTCGCTCACGCCACTCGACGACCCGCTGGAGCGCCGGCAGATTCTGGCGCGCTACGTGAGCGGCTCCCTTAGAGGCTGACGGTCGGGTCCGAACGGGGAAGGAACGCAGCGCTATGAAGTACTGGCTGTCTTCTCCCCTGCAGGGCGCGCTGAGGTCCTTCTCCAACCTCAAGGACGTCGGCATCGTCCAGGTGAAGGTCATGAGAGCAGAAGGACTCATGGTAGCAGACGTAATAGGTAATCAGAAATACCTCCTGTACTTTATACTACTACAAGGTACTCTTTACTTTATCTACTATATGGTACTCCATACAGCCTGTACTCCACTTTATACTGCTATGAGGTACTTAAACGCTCTGTGAATACTTTTTACTCCTCTTCTGTAGTTTATCCTCCTCTTTTAGTACGTTATACACCCTGTACTGTACTTTATGTAATACCTTATACTCCTGTACATCGGTTTATACTGTTGTGTACTTGTAGGTAAGAGCGATCCCTTCTGTGTACTGGAGCTGAATAACGACCGGCTGCAGACTCACACCGTGTACAAGAACCTGAACCCAGAGTGGAACAAAGTCTTCACCTTGTGAGTCCACAGGAATACTACCAGTACTTCACGGAGTACATGAGCAGCTTCACCCTGTTAAGCTCTAGTACTACTCTGAATACTTCATGTCAGCGTATTGTTCGTTCTGTGTTCACATTTTGGTGCTGCTCACTCACATCACAAACTAACAAGCTGCTGTGTAAATCACTGCTTTCTTCAAGGGAGTCTGGTGTGTTAGTAGATCACAGCTTTGGTTCCGTGTCAGACAGTCTGACCATCCGGAGAACACCGATACAGAGAGCGTCCCAAACACACTACGGGGTCTCTGACGATGACGACACTGGTTTTACCGGGGTGATCTCCGTTTTGTGAAATGAGCCCAGCATCTTCTCTCCCTCCTCAGCAACGTCAAAGACATCCACGCGGTGCTGGAGGTGACGGTGTTCGATGAGGACCGCGACCGCAGCGCCGACTTCCTGGGCAAAGTGGCCATTCCCTTATTACAGGTGCAAGAGCACACGGAGACGGCGGGAAACTATCACAGGTGCACCGGGGACGACGATCGGATCAACCTGCAATGGTTTCTTTACTTCAGATCCCAAACGGAGAGCAGAAGAGTTACGAGTTGAAAAACAAAGAGCTGACAGGAAGAACGAAGGGAACCATCTACCTGGAGATGGATGTGGTGTACAACACCGTGAGTAGAGAGGTACCTCAGGTACCTCAGTACTAGCTACTGCGTCTCACAGTACCTCAGGTGACCTCATACTAGCTACTGCGTCTCACAGTAGCCTCAGTACCTCAGTACTAGCTACTGCGTCTCTCAGGTACATGTCCTGGGTCACATGACCTGCTGTCGTCCTCTCCAGGTTAAAGCTGCTCTGAGGTCTGTTGTTCCTGCAGAGCAGAAATACATCGAGGAGGAACCCAAAGTCTCCAAGCAGGTTTTTCATCTGCATTATTATTATTTATTATTTGTTTGGGCAAAAATAAAGATAAATATATATGTTTAAATATCTGGTGATATGAAGTCTTCTGTGTTTTAATATTTTATAAAGTCTACATGTCCGTTCATGTAACCATTGTTTCGTCCCTCAGCTGCTGCAGCAGAACTTTAACCGCGTGAAGAGGTGCATCATGGTCCTGATCAGCTACGGGACCTTTATCAACAGCTGCTTCCAGTGGGAGTCTGTACAGAGGAGCACCGTCTCCTTTGTGGTGTGAAGCACACACACACACACACACACACACTCATCTACACACACACACACACACAGACACACACACATCTACACACACACACACACACACACACACTCATCTACACACACACACACACACACACACAGACACACACACACACACTCATCTACACACACACACACACACACACACACATAGACCTCCAACAGTGATCAGGACTAAAGTGAACCTGGTCCACATAGAGGATCAGGACTAAAGTGAGCCTGGTCCACATAGAGGATCAGGACTAAAGTGAACCTGGTCCACATAGAGGATCAGAACTAAAGTGAGCCTGGTCCACATAGAGGATGAGGACTAGGTCTTGAGGTGTCTTCCTCTCAGCTCTTCGTAGTGGTCGTGTGGAACTTTGAGGTCTACATGCTGCCGATGGCTCTGCTGATGCTGCTGGTCTGGAACTACGTCTCGTCGTCCATCAGAGGGACCACGGAGACGGTGAGCAGACCAGGACGCCAGAACTCGGCCGCCGTCCCCCTCACACACTTTAACCTTTTCCTTTCCCCCTACTGCAGCCCCTGGACGCCATGTTTGAGTGGGAGGACGAAGAAGAGGACGGAGAGGACAAGGTAGCGTCGCCGTGGAAACGCATTCACATCACGCCGTTTCCAATGTGACTTTTTCCATTGTGTCTTTCAGGAGGCGGAGCCAAAGGGCTTCATGGACAAACTGTACGCCATCCAGGACGTGTTCATCAGCGTCCAGAGCGTGCTGGACGACGTGGCGTCCTACGGAGAGAGGATGAAGAAGTGGGTATCCTGGCTGTGGGGGGGAGGGGCTAAAGCTAGAAGAGAGGCGGAGCTCTCTGTAGTGCACATGCAAATACCGTGTGACCATCAGCGTGTCACAGGAAGTCCCTCCTCTTTGGTTCTTTGGTAAAATGGAATTGAATTAAGCTTTTATCTGTTTTCTCAGATTTAAGAACTGTCTCTGAAGTTGTCTCTTGTCTTCAGCACCGTCACCTGGACCGTGCCTTTCCTCAGCTGGCTGGCCATCGCCGCCTTGTCCTCGGCCACCGTGCTCCTCTACCTCGTCCCCCTGCGCTACCTGCTGCTGGCCTGGGGTCAGTACTTATACGTACATAAATGTACAAGTACTCAAGACTGTCTCTGTGTGGGTACAAGTGTGTCTTGTCCTCCTCAGGTGTGAACAAGTTCACCAAGAAGCTTCGAGATCCGTACCTGATCGACAACAACGAGCTCCTGGACTTCCTGTCGCGGGTCCCGTCTGATGTCCAAGTGGTGAGTGACCCTTGAAGACCCATTACATCACATTACGTTACATCAGTAAATCACATTACATCACATTACATCATTAAATCACATTACATCGCATTACATCAGTAAATCACATTACATCACATTACATTACATCATTAAATCACACCACATCATTAAATCACATTACATCACATTACATCAGTACATTACATTACATCAGTAAATCACATTACATCACATTACATCAGTAAATCACATTACATCATTACATTACATCAGTAAATCACATTACATCACATTACATTACATTACATCATTAAATCACACCACATCATTAAATCACATGACATCATTACATCACATTACATCATTAAATCACATTACATGAATCATCACATTACATCGCATTACATCATTAAATCACATTACATTACATGATTAAATTACATTACATAATTAAATCACATTACATCATTACATCACATTACATTAATCATCACATTACATCATTACATCGCACTAATCATTACATCACATTACATAACATCATTACATAACATCATTAAATCACATAACATCATTACATCACATTACATAATCACATTACATCACATGTCATTTAGCTGACGCTTTTATCCAAAGCGACTTACAATAAGTGAATCATCAAATTGCACTTATGCTACATTTTGGTTAGTGTTTTAAAACAAGGATCTTTAAACTAAATTCTAATATGTGTGTGAGACAGATGCAGTACCGGGAGCTGAAGACAGACTCTGGACAAAGTCCCAACAAACGCCGGAGGACCGTCCCCAGTTAGCCCCCCCTGCGTATTCAATGTGTGTTATGTAACTCGGAGGATGCTGCTGCATGAAGCTCTTTATTCATGTTATTTCATTATTATGCTCATAAAAATACTTTGAGATTTTTCGTTCTTTTCTTTCTTTCTCTTTTTTAAAACATAGATTTTAACTTGTGAGATCATGAAGGTTCATCCGACCTTTACAACAGGGACAAGAAACATGATTTTTACTTTTTTATTTTAATCTCAGAGAATATACAAAGTTATTTTTCAATAATTTACCAAATGTAATTTCTGATATTCTGGGTTTTTTCTCTGAATATTAATCCTAGCTGTGTATTTATTTTATTTCTATGGTCTTTTTAATGCACTCTATTGATTCCTGCATGAACATGAATGCATGATCAATAATTATAATCTAATGAAACAATATAAAATGTTCTCTGCGGCCATTTTTATACTTTTAATACTTACAACGTATACTTGTACCTGAGTTTTGTGGTATTTTAGAGATCTGAATACTTCCTCCACGTTAAGATGCATTTAGTCGTCACTTTAAGGGTTTATATTATTCATACTTTTAATGTTCATGTTCAGAGTTACTTAGTTAATGAAAACAGACAGAATACTTTTACCTAGAATCTAGTTGTTGCCGACTTCTCACCGCTAACAATATATTTTCATTTTCTTAACTTCCTGTTTTTCGTTGTATAATCTGCAGTATTTCAAACGCGGTGCATTATGGGATGTCCTGCATGCCACCTTGTGTGCGTCAGTGTTTTTGCATGACTGAACATGAATTTTTTGCAAAGTGCATCCATCATGTGACGGCCGGTGGAAGGTCTCCTGTTGCATCATGGGTATTTGCTGCTGAAGTTTGTGTCGTGTTTGTCTGAGAAAATATATTTGTACACAGATCCACGCGTGTGCTTTTATTCTACAACGGATGGTTTCACAGGTAAAGTCGATATATTCTCCTTCAGAACAGCATCGTCTTCATCTTCCTCCTCGCCAAATGAAACCGGCCCGGCGGTTCTTCAGATTAGGAGGAGAACATCTGGGTGGTGGTGCAGGTCCATTACTTCTGCGTATTACTGCGAACTACAGTTCCCATGATGCTCTGGGAGGCCGAGTCGCTTCGTTAACGGTTCCTACGTGACTTGCTGACGTGTGTCCGGCGACATTCGGTGCGCTCGAGTGTCTTGAAATGAGCCGATGTATCGATCAGCGGTGGAACCTCTGATGTTCAGACCGAGACGATTCTCAGGCCGATTCGCTGGTTTTCTCTCTGAGAGAATTTAAGGAGGTTTATTTAAGTCCGAGAGTCAAACTCAAAGCATCCGATTGAATCCACAGCAGCTATTTCTTATATCTACATGATTATTGTCTCCTGGTTTGGAGCTCAAACCTTTTCAATCATGTTTTTACGAGTTTAGCTTTATTAATTCATTATGGATCTGCACAAAAGATTTTTTGTCATTTTGTGCAAGATGACAAATTTACAAACGATGCCGTTTTCCAGAGGATGATGTTCAGAGGTCAGAGGTCAGAGGTGGAGAAGATGTCCACGGGTGAAGCTAGCAGTCAATAACTTGATTAGTAGATCTATATCATCATGTCGTCTCCATCAACACCACCCGTTAGTTCGCTGCCTCTCACCTCTTTCCCGTGTAACCCTGCTTCTGCACCACCTGCAACCTGATGGTGCACAGGTCCTCTGCAGAACGGTTCCCTCACCAGTTGGTGGTGCTGTGTCCTACCCTTCACAGGCTGTTAGCTTAGCTTAGCATTAGTACTGTAAACACTGTGTGAAACCAAATCTACTGCATCGCCTCTCAAAGGTCAAAGGTCAACTTGTGTTTAATGCCTCAGTGGAAATTGTGACTTTGTTGGTTTATTAAAGTAAAAAAAGTTCTTAACTGCTACAAACGTTATGACATAAGCGTATTATTTCCCTCTGCGATGTATACAAAGTATCATAAAATACTCACTCAAAGGAAGTACCTCATTACAGTACTTTATGTCACTGCATTGTTTACTATTTCTAGTACTTTGCACTCTGTAATAGTACCTCATGTCTCTTAAGGTACTTATTGTATTCTACTGGATCACAGTGCAGGGTGGAGCCCGGGTGGAGCCCGGGTGGAGCCCGGGTGGAGCCCAGGTGGATGAACATTCACTTTAACACGACGTTCCTCCTCCGGGCAGCACTGCGGCGCGCGCATGCTCAGTGGAGCGCTCGCGCGGCGCAGAGTCACCGGAGAGACGCCGGGGAGCAGAGCGGCAGCGCGGCTCCGTCTGACCCGGATGAACCGACCCCGCGGCGGCGGACCCGGCTCCCCGCTGGGCCCCCGCGGGTAGCGCGCCGCCCCCCCCCACGGACTCCCACAGACGCGTGGCTCGTTTCCCCGCGCGTCGCCGCCATGCTGCGGGGCAAGGTGCGGGCCCTCGCGGTCCACCTGGACGGCTCCGAGCGGACCGACCTGCCGGCGTTCTCCGGCGGGGACCCGGTGTCCGGGCGCGTGGTGGTGGAGGTTACCGGGGACGTGCGCGTGAGGCGCCTGGACGTGACCGCGCGGGGAGTCGCCAAGGTGCGCTGGACCGAGTCCCGCAACGCCGGAGCCAACACGGCGTACACGCAGAACTACACCGAGGAGGTGGAGTACCTGCGCCACCAGGACACGCTGATCGGGCAGCCGCGAGGTGAGCCGCCGCCGCTGTTGTTGTTGTTGTTGTTTACACCGCCAGCCGTGTTTGACAACAGCTGATTCCTGTGATTTTTACTAACTTTAAGAAAACTGTTAACACGGAGAGCCGCTGGAAACCTCCACCGGGGCCGCGCGGCGGGGAGCAACAGCTGGCGGCTTCAGGAGCGCGAGCGGCGCTCTGAGGGTGCAGATGTGCTTTTTAATGTATTTGTTGCTCCGCGGCTCATTTTGTGCAGGAAGAAGAAGAAGAAGAAGAAGAAACAAAGTTGAGAAAAAAGAGAGAAATGATGAATCCAACAAAACGAAGTGACGCGTTTTTATCACCGATCAGATAATAAAGGCTCGTTTTCTGGTCACATCCCGCAGCAACTCCCTTTGTTAGAAGCGGTTCAAGCCTGTTCAGGAACTGACGGAGGGGGGAGGAGGGGGGGGAGGGGGGAGGGGGGAGGCCGGGGGCTCCTCCTCCACCTGTTGTTCACTGATGCAAACAGGACGGGAGAGAGATGGAAGCTCCCAGTGGGACCAGTGTTGTGACTGGGACACGATGGGGGGGGGGCACATTCCTCAGCTTTGGTCACGTGGTCGTCCTCAGCTGACAAGATAACAGAAGTCATCTGTTTGGGATTAAACTTCGTTTATTGCTCCTTTTCCCTCTTTTTTATATTTTCTTTGTCCATTTTTATTTGATTTTGAAAATTGCCGCTTCAGCTTTTTCATTGTCTCACACATTGTTTTGTAGTTTTAATCCAATAATTCACGAAGCCTCAGCTGAGGAACGTCGTGAGATTCACCAGAAAGCTTCAGAACAGCTTGTGAAGGGTCTCGTGAGAAGGTTCCTTGGGTTCTTCTGAAGCTCTGCACCAGAACCTGTCAACGGGATGAAGCTCAGTTTCAGGTCTACCTGTTAGTTCACTGCTCCTCCTCCTCCTCCTCCTCCTCTTCCTCCTCCTGCCACACTCCACAGGCTGAGCTCATGTGGGCAGGGGCTTGTCCAGGCCGACCAATCGGAGCCCTGCATGCTCTGCGTGCCGCGCTGTCCTCCAATAGGGAGCGAGCTGTGATGCAGGCAGCTGAAGGAGGCTGCTGAGTCTGGTTCATACTGGTCTGCTCCTGATCTGAACACACACACACACACACACACACACACACACACACGCACACACGGGCTGTTGATGACAGCCATCACACACACACACACACACACATAAAAGGAGGAAGTGGAGTTTGGGCTTGATGCCTTTCTGCTGAAATAAAGTGACACGATTAGTCTTAAAAATGTGAACTTTCTTTGTCTTTTCATTGTGTTTTAATCAATAAACAACTTTGTTTTTTGTCTGAAAGGATATAAAAACAAATCTTGATTTTTAACATCAGAAGGTGTTTGATCAAGAAACTGATTCAGGTTCTGTTTCAGATGAAGACGGATCAGAAGAAGCTCTCACGGTTCTGCACGCCGGCCTCCACGAGTTCGCCTTCAGCTTCAACCTGCCCCACATGTGAGTACTCCAAGTACCGTACTCTAGTACAAGTACAACGTGCAGTCTTTTAGTCCTCTTTGACTGGTGATGTAGTACCGTGAGCTTGTTTTTCATGGTACTTGTACACCAATACTACTTGCCCCACCCCCCCCCAGGGCCCTGGCCACCTCCTTCGAGGGGAAGCACGGCAGCGTGCGCTACTGGGTGAAGGCGGAGCTTCACCGGCCGTGGCTGCTGCCACTCAAAGTCAAGAAAGAGTTGATCGTGTTCGAGCACATCGACATCAACACGCCGCTGCTGCTGGTGAGAGAGACGCCTTATGCTAAGCTCACCACTTAGCTTACCGCTACTACTCGTTGTTATTATGATCATTTAGTTCATTACAAACGCCACGATGTTAAAAAGTAGCTTGCGGTGCTCCAACCTTTATCCAACAAAAATGATATGTCGGGTTTATCTATTTATCTATAGATAGATATTGATGGGCCGAGGCTGTCAAGCTAGGCTAGCTGACCCCCCCCCCCCCGTTCCCGGTCTTTATGCTAAGCTAACCCGCCACAGCGTCGTGCTGCCTGCACACGGCCGTGTGTGGTATCGATCTTCTCCTCTCGCTCTCGGCTACAAAGCGAACCGGCTCATCTCTCAAAGCGCTCGTCTGAGGAGGCGACGCGTCTGTGACGTGGTGGAGGCGCTAACACGGACGCCGCTGTGCTTCAGGCTCCTCAGGCCGGCTCCAAGGAGAAGACGCTGTGCTGCTGGTTCTGCGCATCGGGCCCAATCTCCCTCAGCGCCAAGATCGAGCGGAAGGGCTACACTCCAGGTGAGGACCTGTGGACGCCTCCCGCTTCCTCCTTTCTCTTCTTCCACTCATTTCACTTCTCTCTCAGTCCGGCAGACTGATCCCTTGTCCCTTCTCTCCAAGGCGAGTCCATCCAAATCTTCGCCGAGACGGAGAACTGTTCGTCCCGGGTGGTGGTGCCCAAGGCCGCCCTGTACCAGACCCAGACCTTCTATGCCAAGGGCAAGGGCAAGCAGATCCAGCAGCTGGTGTCCAACCTGAGGGGCGACCCCCTTCCGCAGGGCAAGAGCCAGAGCTGGGAGGGCAAGCTGCTGAAGATCCCCCCGGTGTCGCCCTCCATCCTGGACTGTCCCATCATCAGGGTGGAGTACACCCTCGTGGTGAGTCGCTGTGCGTAGAATCGGACCCGGGTGAAGACCAGAAGGACGTAGATGCTCTGCTTAAGTTGAGGTTGCATCACGGGAGTATTTCTGTATTAAGAGTAAAAGTATGACATCAAATATCGTGTCAAAAGTAAAACTACTCCCTGTTCAAAAGTACCGCGTTGTAATATTTATATCTATTATATATATATATAAATGCTCATCCCCCCCCAGGTGTACGTGGACGTCCCTGGCGGGTTGAACTTGTCCCTCTCGTTGCCGTTGGTGATCGGGACCATCCCCCTGCACGCCGGCGCCTCGCGCTCCTCCAGCGTGAGCAGCTGCTGCAGCACGGCGAGCTGGCTGGGTCTGTCCCCCGAGGGTGAGAAGCAACACGCACACGCCTGTTCTCCTGTCGCCGCACACGGACTCGCTAACCTGCTCGTCTGTCGGTCGCAGCGCCGCCGAGTTACGGCGATCTGGAGATATCGGAGTCCCACAGGAGGGAGTGTCTGCGGGGCTGTGACGGGTGCGACGGGGGGGCGGACCGGGGGTCTCTGCTCACTTACATCACCGAGTTCAGATATCTGCCCCCCCCACTCTACTGCGAGGTACAGTCGGTACACACACACGTACAGCAAGAGTACACAAAGTATCCAGTTAGGATGCAGTATAACAGTACACAGAATATACAGTATTTTTCTAGAATACTTGATGTTGGAAGTCAAACAGCTCTAGTTTGATTTGTTCTGATTAATAGCAGGTCTTTGTTAAGCGATGCTAGCTGGTCCCCTCCATTTCCAGTCTTTGCTAAGCTAAGCTAACCGGCTACTCTTGCGCTGTACAGATGTGAGAGTAGTATCAACCTGAACATCTGTCTGCAACAGAGATGAATATATTACAGATCAAGTTCTATAATTATTATTATTATTGAGAGATAAAACCATTCAAAATACGGGGTTCTTGTGTTTTAGTGTATTCCCTAGAGAGAAAACCCTCTGCCCCCCCAGATGGACCCTTACCCTGACCCGGGAGAGGTCAGGAGACCAAACACATATCCGTCCCGCTGAGGACCGGCCCAGGGCCAGATGATGTACCCGCACTAAGACCCTCCCTGACTCCGGGGGGGGGCGGCTGAGGGAGTATTCGGCGCCCGTTGGCGTAATCGACCGGGGGGTTCTGGGCCGTGTGGAACCTCCACAGGGAATTTTGCACAAACCGTCTTCACTGTTTTTCCTTTCGGTGTTTTTTCTATTCTGCAGCCGGTCGGCCTTTTTTATTTATTCCTGAGGTCGATCGTGTGTGTGTGTGTGTGTGTGTGTGTGTGTGTGTGTGTGTGTGTGTGTGTGTGTGTGTGTGTGTGTGTGTGTGTGTGTGTGTGTGTGTGCGGGTCCATGTGTCACGCACACAATGACCACAGTGATTATGATGATCGATGTGTGAGTCACTTTCTGGTGAATTCTACTCTTGCACTGGAGATTCTTGGCGTTATGACCACTGCTAATGGACCTCTGGGAAGTAAAGGGATCATGCCATGGCAACCACAAGAAGCACTTGAGGTCAGACAGATGGTGGATGCATTGAATTTCTACCAACAGAGCAACATGGTAAATGGAAGCAGAGGGGAAAGCTGGAGGCTTCTTACTTAAAATTAAGTAAATAATTTGTGAACCAACAGGTGGAACCCACCATGGTTAAATAATACCACGGCACATTGACAACCATAGTGAGCTTGATAGGCTGCTTAAGCCGTGTGAACTTTTGTTGTCTCAGTCTCTGCTACAGAATCATATTACAGGGACGAAATAGACACAAGGAGGCAGATGTATTCTGCACCAACGTGTGCTGAAGAAGAAATAATGGAGATAATACAAGCAAAATACGACAAATAAAACTCCTGATAAAAACTGTACGGCTTAGATACATGTAACCAGAAGACAGGATTAGATACCAAGTCCCGTTATAAGTATAATATGGAAGACTTCTAACCTAGTGGAGTACAAGATCAAAAATGAGTGATCTGAGAATACTGACTGTTAAACAGTCAAATCTACCCGTTAAAAGTCCACCTC